TTATCCTACCCGATCGAATTCTATCCTAACCTAGCCCAAGGTCTAGCCTATCTCTATCCTGATTTGAATTCCTTCAAGCCACAGTTCCGCGTCGTGTCTTCTTTTCTCTCGTTCTACTCTAACTCCTCCTTCCATCGCCTCTTCTATTCTCCCCCTTCCCTCAATTTCCCCCGCCTTCCCTCACCCACCCCCCATTCACCCCCTTCCCTCTATCCTTCTATCCCTCCATCCCATCCCCTCCCTAGTGTCAAGGAGGAAAGGGAAGAGAAGCAAAGATCCCTGAGTCACTGCACTGAGCCTGGCCAACTCCAAGCGCGGGGAAGAAACAAATAAAACAAAAGAAAACATGATGCACGCACGAAAAAATGTAAATAAAAATATCATTACCTTTGTTTTGCTTTTAAACACTTGACTTATCCTCCTTCTCTCTCTGTCTCTCCCCCCCTCTCTCTCTCTCACGCGTCAATCTGATCATTCTTGCTGATTCCCCTCATCTTATGTAAACCCATTTCTGCGTCTCTCACCCTCTCACTCACTCATTCACTCTCTCTCTCTGTCTCTGGCTCTCCCTCTCTTCCCCCTCCGCGATTCCCTTCACCCTTCAGATCTTTGATTTTATGTCTCCCCTCCATCGCCTCCCGCCCCACCATCCTCGTAATTTTAATGTGAATTCCTTCCGTAATTCTGATTCTCCGCTATTATCCTTCTTCGCCTTTCTCCTTTCCTCCTCTTTCTCTCCGTTCTTCCTCTTCCTCTCGTCCCTTTTCCTTTGTGTTTTCTCTCCTCCACCCAAGGAACACGGCCAACAGCAAGACATAAGCTGAGTTGTTGCAAGGTGTCGAGGGCGCTCTCCTGCACCACTGCAGCCCAACCCGGAAGTGTGCTCCAATGCGCCCTGCAAGGTCAAAGGGTCACGTTCCAGGCGGCCAATCGTCGCCTCGCACGCCGTAAGCGACAACGGACTTAAAAAGGGAACGATTAAGACCGATTTTTGCCGTCGGTCTGCCTCCTTCCCGCACCTTTCAAAAGGGGGGGCGGGAAGAGGCGACGAGGGAGCTCCTTTTCTAACGCGCGACTCCCGGATCGGAGGAGGAGGGGGGGGGGCGACACAAAGACATTAGCATGCGATGAAGTGGCTTGGAGAGTGGAGAGGGGGAGTGGGGGACTGGAGAATGGGGGAGAGGGGAAGAGAGGGCCGGTCACACTGCCTCGAGACACGGCAAGCAACATCCCCCGTAATGAAGCGTGATGACGTGTGGGGTCAGCGCAATCCCCACGCCCGCCCCCCTTCCCCTCCCAGCCCCCTTCCCCGCCCCGCCGCCCGGTCACCCTCGCTGCCTGGCCGCTCCCCACACCTTCTCTTTCTCTGTTCGCCCGAATTATCTGCCGTTCCCTCTCTTCCTTTCTTCCTTACGCGCGTTCACTCTCCTTTACCCTCTCACTCTCTGTGTTTATGTTTATGCTGATGGCTTTTTATCACTTTGTCTCTCACTCCTATCATTTCATACTGACTTACCATTATTCTCTTATCCTTTATTCCTCTCTGATTATTGCTTCTCTCTCTCTCTCTCTCTCTCTCTCTCTCTCTCTCTCTCTCTCTCTCTCTCTCTCTCTCTCTCTCTCTCTCTCTCTCACACACACACACACACACACACACACACTTCTTTTCCGCTTCCTTCCTCTCTCTCCTCTCTCCTTCGCTCCCTCTTCCTCATTCTCCCCCTCTCCACGAATCCCCCAAGAACTCCCACCAAACCCCCCACCCCCACCCCACCTCCCCCTCGGCGCCGGGACACAAGAGTCAGCTCACGCCCTCCGATCTCCCGTGTTATGATTACCAACAGGATTGTTATCTCCGCGAATGCACTGCCTTTCACGTCCGATTATTCTGACTGTAGCGTTCCTCTTTGGCGCCTCTCTTTATCGCAGAATTCACCTGCAGTATAAACTCGGTTGTCAGTGTACCGTTTTCTCGATACGGCTTGGGTGCCCTCTGTTATCAGTGTAGCTTTTCTCGATACGATCCTGGTTCCTTCTGTTATGAGTGTACCGTTTTTTTGGGATACGTTTTCGCTTCATTCTGTTATCAGTGTACCGTTTTATTTATGATACGGTTTCCTTCTGTCTTCAGTGTACCATCTTCTCTATTATCAGTATATTGTTTTCTCGACATGGTTTTGGTCCCCCTCTGTCAACATGCGAAAGGCCAGTGAGTAACTGCTTTCGACCACTTTAGCCTGACCTCAAGACACCTTTGCTCCTGAGTCATGCATCTTAATCTCGCACAAACACACACACACACACGCACAAACGGACGGACACTCAGCATCGCACTCATGCACAAAAAAGCCTGTTATTCTTATTAGTTATTCCCCGGTTTATTCGCCTTTCTACTTACAATCACCAGTATATACCTCTCTTTAACGTTCTGTCCGCAGGCCTATCTATGGGACATAAAACGGAAATCTACATAAAATTTGCATTTTTCTCCCCCTACTTACCTCCCTAACACGTAATAAAAGAATCTATCGACACCTACCAATCTAACAGCCAATAAAATATCTACCTACCAGTGCCCCCCTACCCCCTACCCCTCTTTTCACGACCCCTCCTAAACGACCAGGAACAACGACTCCCTTCCCCTCCCCCACTTGGAGGTCGTCCCGGACAAAACTTACCTACCCCCTCTTACCCCCCCAAACCCCCTACCCCCTCTCCACCATCCCCTTACCCCCCCCCCACTCCACCACTCACGTCTTCCTCTTCCATTCTGTACCACCACCTCCTCCTCTTCCACCCCCCACCTCCTCCTCTTCCACCCCCACCTCCTGCTCCACCTCCTCCTCTTCCACCCCCCCACCACCACCACCACCACCTCCTCCTCCTCCTCCTCCTCCTCCACCTTCTCCTCTCCCACCCACCCCACCACCTCCTTCACCCCCCACCTCCTCCTCCTCCTTCTCCTCCCCCCCACCACCTCCTCCTCCTCCTCCTCCTCCACCTTCTCCTCTCCCACCCTCCCACCACCACCACCACCACCACCACCTCTTCCTCCTCCTCCTCCTTCTCCTCTCCCCCCCCCCCACCACCTCTTCCTCCTCCTCCTCCTCCTCCTCCTCCTCCTTCTCCTCTCCCCCCACCACCACCACCTCCTCCTCCTCCTCCTCCTCCACCTTCTCCTCTCCCACCCTCCCACCACCACCACCACCACCTCTTCCTCCTCCTCCTCCTCCTCCTTCTCCTCTCCCCCCCCCCACCACTACCTCTTCCTCCTCCTCCTCCTCCTCCTCCTCCTCCTTCTCCTCTCCCCCCACCACCACCACCTCCTCCTCCTCCTCCTCCTCCTCCTCCTCCTCCACCTTCTCCTCTCCCACCCTCCCACCACCACCACCACCACCACCTCCTCTTCCCACCCTCCCCACCTCCTCCTCCTCCTCTCCCACCCCCAACCACCACCACCTCCTCCACCTCCTCCTTGCAATCAGTCCCGTTAGGAGGAATAAATACATTTTCCTGATCCTCCGGCGGTTTGCATTCGGGCGTAATCGAACGCCCCGAGGACGTAATTGGTATAATTGAGGACCCGGTTTATCATCAGTTAAAATCGGGTTCCGGTATTAAATAAATTCATCTTGAGGCGAGATTAATAGAAAAAAAAGGTACCGGTATCTGTAATCGACAGCGGATTTGATAGATAGACATGTCGATAGCTAGACTGATAGACCGTTGCATTTACAAACAGAAGGCCATATGAAGATAATGGCTATATGGATAAATTAAAATTATAGATGATAAGAAAAGATACCGAGAGAGAGAGAGAGAGAAAGAGAGAGAGAGAGAGAGAGAGAGAGAGAGAGAGAGAGAGAGAGAGAGTGAGAGAGAGAGAGAGAGAGAGAGGAGAGGAAGAGAGAGAGAGAGAGAGAGAGAGAGAGAGAGAGAGAGAGAGAGAGAGAGAGAGAGAGAGAGAGAGAGAGAGAGAGAGAGAGAGAGAGAGAGAGAGAGTAGAAGGAGGCGCATCACAGAATCCCAACATGCACACCGAGCCGAAAGCCCGGCCATTGTAAACATATCTAAATCCCCTCTTTAAATGCCTCTCCCCGGCCGATTTAAAGCCTGGCGTTATCAGGGCCGGCACATCTCTCTCGCAGCCAGCCCGACCGTAGGGATCTCAGGACTCAGGGACCGAGCCTCAGGGGGCGGGCCGGGACCACCTCCCTCAACCGCAGCCGCCGCCTTCCTCGCCGCCGCCACGACCGCACAAAAACGCGCCCATCGAATCGCACGATCTCCGTCCCGTCGCACCTCGGGGGACGATCGGGCGCCCTGCGAGTCGCCTCTCGGGTCCTGCTCCCTGAGGGCTTGGGAGGGGCCCTGGGGGAGGGGCCGTTGGGAGGGGCCGTGGATGAGGGGCCCTGGGGACGGAGTGGGCCAGTGGGGCTCATTGAGACATCCATTGCTAGATATACACTATAACGACGTTTCGGCTTCTAACGAGGGGGAATTCAGAGATAAAGAAGAAATAAAACCTGGAAAAAATAAAATGCCATCACAGGATAGCACACCGGCTCCGTGAATCTAATCAAAATGATAGCAGATCGTAATATATATATATATATATATATATATATATATATATATATATATATATATATATATATATATATATATATATATATATATATATACATACACATATACTTATACATACATAAGTACATACATTATTTAGATAGATAAATGGATAGATTGACAGATAAACAAAAGTAAATACATATATGTGTATGTAATATATATATATATATATATATATATATATATATATATATATATATATATATATATATAATATATATATATATATATATATATATATATAATATATATATATATATATATATATATATATATATATATATATATATATATATATATATATATATATATATGCATAATATATATATATAAATATATACACATACGTAATAACAAGTGCAACTCACCATAATGAAACGACGAAAAAGACGACGAGGATGAACTTGGGAAGAGGTGACGACGGCGACGACGAAGCTCGAGGGACGTGGAGAGTGGGGGGAGGGGGGGGCAATCACAAATCCTCAATCGAGGAATACGCAAAAAAATGAATCAAAATAAGGGGTAGGATAAGGAGGGGTTACTGGGTGGGGGGGGTTACAGGCAGGGGAGGAGGGAGGGGGACGGCGTTTCGAAGCTTCAGTCGGTAATAATTCACTGTCTCGGCCGCACGCTCCGTTGACGCGCGAACAGCTGTTGGGAGGACGAATACCCGCGCGATGGGGGGGTGAGGGGGACTCGAATCCAGCTGCCTTTGCCTCCCTAATCCAAATCTTATTAATTGGATTTTATGCGTCGCACCGTTACCAACTATACTTTTCTCTTTATTTATTTATTTTTATTTTAAACTAGAATCCGATTTCTCCAAATACCATTTCAAAAAGGAAAAAAAAACTGTGTTTCTCTCTCTCTTTTTTTCCCTCTCTGCGAGCCAACTTTTTCACTGGTTTGACCAAAGACCGAGAGACAGTGGACGCGGGGCTAAAAAATTTAAATATCTTTCCGGTGCTTCATGTACGTTTGAAGTGCCGTAAGATCACGAATATATATTTTTTTACACAATTTTAGGATTGTACATTCCATCGACAGTTGTAATTTTCCTTTTGGTTACACACGAATTATAAATATTTTTTCTTCATCTGAGCAAGATTTTTTTTTCTAGCCCCACTGCAATCACACTTCTTTTTCCTTTTCTTTCCTGTGCCTTGTGCATCTGTTTGTTTATTTATATTTTTTTTCACTTTTTCCTTCACAAAGTCATCACTGCTGATTCATCACC